AGTTGTAGATGTAGTGAGAATGTGTGAGATGTCATAGTTGAATGCGTGTGAGATAGTGATATGCCTCTATTGTAATAATGCGTGTGAGATGTCATGTGATGAATGCCTCTAGTTGTAATGTGTGAGATGTGATGAATGTAAGTGTCGTGATGAATGTCTCTAGTTGTATCGTGTGAGATGTCGCGATGAATGTGATGAATCTAGTTGTAATAATGTGAGATGTCGTGATGAATGTCTCTAGTTGTATCGATGTGTGATGAATAGTAAGTGATGAATGTCTCTAGTTATAATGTCGTTGTAATGAATGTCTCTAGTTGTAATCGTGTGAGATGTGATGAATGCCTCTAGTTGTATCGTGTGAGATAATGTGATGAATGTCTCTAGTTGTAATATCGTGTGTAGAGATGTCGCCGATGAATGTCTCTAGTTGTAACGTGTGAGATGTCGTGATGAATGTCTCTAGTTGTAATACGTGTGAGATGTCGTGATGAATGTCTCTAGTTGTAATACGTGTGAGATGTCGTGATGAATGTCTCTAGTTGTAATACGTGTGAGATGTCGTGATGAATGTCTCTAGATTGTAATGTCGTGTGAGTCATGTAGATGAATGTCTCTAGTTGTAATACGTGTGAGATGTCGTGATGAATGTCTCTAGTTGTAATACGTGTGAGATGTCGTGATGAATGTCTCTAGTTGTAATACGTGTGAGATGTCGTGATGAATGTCTCTAGTTGTATACGTGGCGTCTCTAGTTGAGATATCGTGATGAATGTCTCTAGTTGTAATACGTGTGAGATGTAATAGGTGATGAATGTCTCTAGTTGTAATGATGAATGCGAGATGTCGTCGATGAATGTTATAATAGATCTCTAGTTGTAATCGGTGTGAGATGTCGTGATGAATGTCTCTAGTTGTAATAATGCGGTGAGATGTCGATGTGTCTCTAGTTGTATGAGATGTCGTGATGAATGTCTCTAGTTGTAATACGTGTGAGATGAATGTCTCTAGTTGTAATATCGTGTAGATGTGAGATGTCGTCGCGATGAATGTCTCTAGTTGTAATGTGATCGTAAGGAGATGTCGCGGATATCCCGTGAGTTGTAATAAGTGTGTGAGATGTCGATGAATGTCGGATGAATGTCTCTAGTTGTAATCGTAGATGTGAGAACACGTGTGAGATGTCGTGATGAATGTCTCTAGTTGTAATACGTGTGAGATGTCGTGATGAATGCCTCTAGTTGTAATACGTGTGAGATGTCGTGATGAATGCCTCTAGTTGTAATACGTGTGAGATGTCGTGATGAATGCCTCTAGTTGTAATACGTGTGAGATGTCGTGATGAATGCCTCTAGTTGTAATACGTGTGAGATGTCGTGATGAATGCCTCTAGTTGTAATACGTGTGAGATGTCGTGATGAATGCCTCTAGTTGTAATACGTGTGAGATGTCGTGATGAATGTCTCTAGTTGTAATACGTGTGAGATGTCGTGATGAATGTCTCTAGTTGTAATACGTGTGAGATGTCATGATGAATGCCTCTAGTTGTAATACGTGTGAGATGTCGTGATGAATGTCTCTAGTTGTAATACGTGTGAGATGTCGTGATGAATGTCTCTAGTTGTAATTCGTGTGAGATGTCGTGATGAATGCCTCTAGTTGTAATACTGTGAGATGTCGTGATGAATGCCTCTAGTTGTAATACGTGTGAGATGTCGTGATGAATGCCTCTAGTTGTAATACGTGTGAGATGTCGTGATGAATGTCTCTAGTTGTAATACGTGTGAGATGTCGTGATGAATGTCTCTAGTTGTAATACTGTGAGATGTCGTGATGAATGTCTCTAGTTGTAATACGTGTGAGATGTCGTGATGAATGTCTCTAGTTGTAATACGTGTGAGATGTCGTGATGAATGTCTCTAGTTGTAATACGTGTGAGATGTCGTGATGAATGTCTCTAGTTGTAATACGTGTGAGATGTCGTGATGAATGTCTCTAGTTGTAAATGTGTGAGATGTCGTGATGAATGCCTCTAGTTGTAATACGTGTGAGATGTTGTGATGAATGTGACCATGGAGTTATTGCCCACACTGGTGTTGGCACGGGTGGCATAGTCATCTAAGGTGCAGCAATTGGCTGCACAGACTTCTGTGTCCTTCACGCACGCTAGAATCTGTTCTGGGTCCATTTCACCCTGGTTACACCTGTGAAGATCTGGGTTAGACACCCTGGTTACACCTGTGAAGATCTGGGTTAGACACCCTGGTTACACCTGTGAAGATCTGGGTTAGACACCCTGGTTACACCTGTGAAGATCTGGATTAGACACCCTGGTTACACCCATGAAGATCTTGGTTAGACACCCTGGTTACACCTGTGAAGATCTGGGTTAGAATTGGTCTTCAGTAACCCATGCTTGTCATAAGGGTCGACTAATGGGATCAGCCTCGCTGACTTGGTTGACTTATGTCATCATATGCCAATTGCATAGATCGATGCTCATGCTGTTGATCACAGGATTATCTGGCCCAGACTTGATTTTATTTACAGTCTGCTGCCATGTAGCAGGAATATTGCTGAGTGTGGTGTTTAAGCAACAAAAAAACAAACAAACATCATCTGATTATGTTTCTCGATTAATTAGCTCTATACCCATGTTAACGGGTGGCATCAAAATAGTAAATATCGGAAACCTGCATTAGTCTAGGATTTGCTCCGACACAGAGCGGACATGCCATCATATAGCTGGAATGCTGTTCATAGCACCATTAAAACTCACTCACCCACCCACCCACTCACTCACTCACTCACTCACTCACTCACTCACTCACTCACTCACTCAGTTGACCAAATGTAGCAGATAAACTTCTCAATGAATTATATATAGGAACCAAATTCCCTAAAGGCGATATTGAAATGCCAATGCTTGTAATTTGAGCGTGAGCTTGGATCATGACCTAATCTTTTGAGTTTCACACTTGAGATTGCTATCTGCTGAAAGTCAAGGTATAAGGTCATGTGAAACCTCATCCATCCTCGGAGAAAACTCTGCCTGACATGTTCATTGTGTTGTGCTAATGACCTTGTAACTACAGCCAAACTGCAGCCTCTCAGGTGCTGGGGTGTGTAATGTGGCCACACTTCCCGTAACACCCGCATTGTCATCCGGGGATGGTTTTGTTTCACGTTCCTTCCAAACGATGAACACATTAGCGATATATCATCCATCAATCTTTGATCCTGAGTGGATACGAGTTTGGCAGGTGTGGCTGTCATGATTTCTTCTTTTTATTGTTACTGATACAGTATTCGCTTAATCTTTGTCCCTTTGCTGGTTTTATGGGTGATTTAATTGTTTGACTTATTGAAAGAGGGAGCTGGGGCAATTGTTGTTCTGCTGGCTAGCTACGAGCTTGATGTATGCAAGCAGCCACCTTGGTGTTAGGCTTCATGTGTGTTCAATTCTCCCTCACCGGAGAAAGTTAATGAAATATTGTCACACGATTTAACCCCCACGTACAAAAATGTAGTACATTGTTTGACAAGTTTGACCCTGATGTTAGAAAGGTCATTGTCTGATAGGGACCGTCTCAAAACATTTTGATCAATTAAATGGACCTTATTTCTCGGATGTTATTAAACTTATCTTTTGGTTTGTTTGTTGAAGTTGATTAAATTAAAAAAAATTGGTGAAATTACAGAAAAGTAATTTCACCAACAAGGAGGATGGGGTTAATGTTTCTTGAAGCTTTGAGACGATGTCTCGGGTGAAATACTGAAATGTGTCGATTGCCCAGTGTTGGGATCTGTCATCGATGAGCTATACCAAGCATGTTTGCAGACAGATTTGCACGTTGTTAATAGAAGCATGAATCTGAGGGATTCTGTCGCCATGTTTGTCCACTAGGGGCACTGAGTGCATGAATCGGCTGACAAATGTGACCAATTCTCGTCATTCAAGCCACCAACATGTCAAATAGTCTCACCCCACCAGGTTCATAGTGAGGCAAGATCACATTCTCTTGTCGTGGTAGATCTCAGCACTCACTCCAATCATCAATATCACAACGTGGCAAATGTTGTCCATATACGAATGACCTAAAAAAATATGTAATGTAAATACATTTTTGACGCTGCACTTGGCTTGATAATTGTTTCAAACTATCCAGGTTGACTCAGTCTGACAACATGGGTGGTGAAATTAGTGTACATAAGGCTGAAATAATGTAAATGTCAACTGAGAGGGCTTGAGAACAGAGTTTAGTTATTTGATAAATTGTCAGTAGGAACTTGATGATTGTAGTGAAACCTAGTCTGTCTTGCAGTCCCTGAACTGCACTATGATCTGTTCTGCCTAAGCCTTCCTGCAATGCTAAAGTCCTTAATGAAGCAAGTCTAGATTTCCTCAGGAAACTCAACTCACTGGGGTTTTTTAGATTTAAAGGGGATTATTTGTAACTATCAGAATTGTATATATTCACAATCTAAACTTTAGTTCAAGTGAAACTATACAGTTGTCAAGTTAAGGACATCTCGGTTTCATGACAGCTTAACTGTAGTGATATCAAAAATCTGTAGTTTGAATATTCTGAGGTATATTTTCAGTTGTATATATAATAATCTTCATGTAAATATAATTCAGTGTAGTGAAGTTTTGACTTTAGGATGTTTTGCTTTTATGGTGGTGTGATTGTTACAAACATGCACAGCAGATTAACACTGAGCATGTTCACAGTATTTTTGCAACGCAAGCTCCACCCACACCATGATCAGGAGACAAAAGTCTGCTTGTGGGAGTGGGCTGAAGTGTTTCAGTTTCTGGAAGCATAAACACAAATATAATGTGTTTGTGTTTCAAATGATGTGGGATCTCTTGCAATTTATTTTATTATGCCTTAGGGAAACTAATATTATTTTACTGATAACCAACAAATTTTACATGTATATTATGAATGCATAATGAACGTGGATTCTGTGTATTTATTTCTAAATTTTGTTTTCAGAAACCGGCCGTATTTTGCCTGCTGCTTATGGAATATTCAGAACAAGTTCAAAGTATGACCCATGGAAGGGAATCCTTAAAAATTTATATGGAAGAAACTTCAACGAAATTCTTACCAGAGCAACGTAAGTAGAAATATGAATACTTCCACAAGTTCACTCGTTCAATAAGTGTACAACTCTATATGTTTGTAACATAATGGTAGGAGACCATATCAGGGGTCATTCCAGCAATATCACGGTCGGAGAACGCCAGAAATGGGCTTCACACATTGTACCCATGTGGGGAATTGAACCCGGGCCTTTGGCATGGTGAGCGAACGCCTTAACTACTAGGCTACCCCACCACCCCTAAAGGCAGTGAAATGAACTGACATTTTTTGCATATATTCTTTTTCTCTCTCTTCACACACACACACACACACACACACACACACACACACACACACACACACACACCAGGGAAAATAGTTGGTTAATGCAGACCATCTATTATATCTGGTTAAAGTGTTCACACATCATGCAGGCCCAGGTTCCATTCCACATGGGTACAATGTGTGAAGATGTTCTGGTGCCTCTTGTTGTCTGGACCATTCAGCTGAAAGTGTAGCAAAGTATCACTCACTCACTCCGGGTTAGAATTGGTCTTCAGTAACCCATGCTTATCATAAGAGGCAATTAACAGGATCAGGGGGTCAGGCTCGCTGACTTGGTTGACACATGTCATCTTATCCCAATAGATTGATGCTCATGTTGTTGATCACTGGATTGTCTGGTTCAGATTCGATTATTTACAAACAGCCACCATATAGCTGGAATAATAATGTTGACTGCGGCGTAAAACAAACAACCAACCAACCTCACTCACTCACTCACTCACTCACTCCCCAAAGCTGACATCTCTTGATGAAGTGACCTTTGTTTTGTCCTCAAGTACACACCAGTGTTATGACACCATAAAGTTCAACACACAGGAAGTGTAAGCGGTCTGATGTTAGAGACATGATGTCACAGTACGTGATCGAGTAGCTCCAGGTTGTGGTTCTACATTTTACTGTACACTCTCCAAATTCTTCGTGTTCATGTTTTTCACCTGCGATATTTGCTACCGGCTAAAAACCGCGACCCATTAGCAATGTAATGAAGCATGATCAGTATTTGACATCACCAAACATACAGGTTTGACAGACAAGTGCTTATGAATAAATAAAATGAGTGAGTGAGTTTAGTTTTACGCCGCACTCAGCAATATTCCAGCTATATGGCAGCGGTCTGTAAATAATCGAGTCTGGACCAGACAATCCACTGATCAACAGCATGAGCATCGATCTGCGCAATTGGGAACCGATGACATGTGTCAACCAAGTCAGCGAGCCTATAATCATGTTAGTCGCCTCTTACGACAAGCATGGGTTACTGAAGATCAATATTCTAACCCGGACCTTCACCTGTAGAATAAATAAAACTGGGGGGAAACCGGGCATCTGCAAAGTTGTTGGTCTAATTGTATAATGTTAGTAGAACAATCAACAAGAAGGATTACAAAAATGTCAAGTTAGAACAGATAACACAGGTAGAAAAAACACATACACAATAGACAAAACAGGTACAGAACTCAAGTAGACAAAAAGCTCCCTGATAATCATGATCCTGAGATTGGTGAAATGTTGATTTTATTCAAACTGAGCCCGATTAGAAACCAAAAAAACATTAAAAAGACATCACGGTTAGAAATAACCAGTTTGTTTGATCTTTGCAACAATGTACATCATCTGACATAAACAGCTGTTTGCTGTAGTCTGTTCAAACTAAGCAGGGTCTGTTTCTCTAAAGAAGGTTAAACAACAAGACACCAGATGTTGGTACATCCTAAACTTAGACAATGCCAATATAGCTTTCACCCTTGTACGAAACACAGCAAGTCTGGCTCAAGGACTAAATCTAGTTAACTTCCCTTTCTTGTGGTGTGTCTGTGTTTGTGTGTCAAGTGAGTTTCCAGAATAGGTGACCGCCGTCTCCTACAGGACACTGACCGAATGCGCTTCTCACACCAACCTTGTAAGACCAAAAAAGCAGACGGGGATAAAACGAAGCAAACTTAAATATTTGTCTTCACTAGGCTGTGGTTTTCTTCGTGTTTATCTTGAGAAGCACCTCATTGTCATGTGCGGCGATGAAAGCATGTCACTTTAATGTTGCTGAAGGCCAGCATGTTCCAACGCTTACGTTACACCGCAGGCTTTTGTACCATCCGTTGCATCTGCCCATTACACAGTTAGCAAAAGTTTAAATGGGAGTCTATTAGATTAATTTTGTTTGAAATATCTGAATGGGTCCCTTTCTGATGACCTGTTGCTGGAAGTAAACACACAGAAATGTGGGTTAGTGCGATTATGGGTGCAGCAGTGAAAGGTTTAAGCTTGTCAAAACAGGTTGAATTGGAAAAGAACAGCGATCATGGAATGCACTATTCCTGCACACACCTTGGTGGTGACAGTCACATGTATTAAAGGTGGACTGTGCTCCTAGTAATTGGCTAAACCAGCCAGATTGGTCATTATGGTACATAACTGTTACTCCTAGTAATTGGCTAAACCAGCCAGATTGGTCATTATGGTACATAACTGTGACCTGCATTAAAGGCGGACTGTGTTCTCAGTAATTGGATATAACAGATAGACTGGTCATTATTGTACATAACTGTGACCTGCATTAAAGGTGGACTGTGTTCTCAGTAATTGGCTATACCAGATAGACTGGTCATTATGGTACATAACTGTTGCCTGCATTAAAGGGAGACTGCACCGAGTCATTAGCTATACCAGCATAAAATGGGGACCTCAAAAAGTGAAGAGCAATGTCTGGTGAAAAATTTACAATTTTATAGTTCGAGGACAGCCATTATACAGAAATAAAGTCCATGATGTAATAGATGTTGTATTCTCAGATAATGCATAATGAGAACTGTTGTGTGGTTATCATACATAGTAACTCTCCTTTGCACTTAAATGGGGACTGCACTAAGTGAGAGGGTAGATCATTGACTTTGTGTGTTGGCGATTTGGTGACTCACTCCAGATGGGACTCAACCACAAAAAGTATCTGTACTTTACTTAGAAAGTGTAGTTCCAAATATAACATTTGTTGGAAGACAATTGGATGAAGTGGATGTAACTTTAAGACTATAGGCTAGACTGCAAGACACTAAGCTGCAGTGGGTTGAACTACAAGACTACAGACTACGTTCAGTATGTCTTTAAGGGAATCCCTGCACTCCTACCCAGCTTCATATCCCAAGGGGGCGGTGGGGTACAGTCTAGTAGTTAAAGCGTTGGCTCGTCACACCGAAGACCCAGGTTCGAATCCCCACATGGGTAAAATGTGTGAAGCCCATTTCTGGTGTCCCCTGCCGTGATGTTGCTGGAATTTTGCTAAAAGCGGCGTAAAACCAAACTCAGTCAGTCAGTCATATCCCAAGATGTTCTTCCCCAAATATAGATATAAACAATCATAGCCTTACATGTTCACACTCTCATGTCTTTCTATGTATTCATTTGACTTCTTACATTTCAGCTATTGTGCCTACTACTTGGTGACAAGCTCTCGCGCAGCCTGCAACAGCACCGAGGTCAACCAGAAGTGGGCCAGATCACTCAACAAGGGAGCTGAGGTTTGCGTGGAGTGTCAGCCGACAGCCATGGACCGAGACCGTGGCGTCCGTTGTATTGGCCACGGAGTGATGAACAAGCTGACGCGATGGACTGCCATCAACGTACCTCACTGCAAGGGAGAGTGGACCATGACCGTCGATCACAAGCCCTGCACCTGTGACCGGGATGAGGACCCTGATGATGATCCAGCAGACAGAGATGGACCCACAAGAAACTTCATCTTTATTTAGACATCGCTGAAACAATGTCTTAAAACCAACCACCATCTTCAGACTAGATCTGATCATCTGCCAGATGGCATTGTCTTATCTCAAGGGAGACAAGTCTGCTCGCATTTCACACCTTCCCATAATTCCTGTATGCAGGAAGTACTGACAGAATGAATGCTATACCACTTGGTGTCTTTGAGCACTGTAGATTGTTTGTATAGAACTGTGGACTGTCTAGTGTAGCACACTCTAGTGATTCATTCACTATCATGTATAATACATTATTATAAACAGGGACATACTTTTGTAATCATTGTACAGCACATGTTGTGGCACCTGTTCTAAGGGCAAACCAGGAGATTCTGCACCAGTAGCTCTGGCAGGAGGATCAGGAAGATCACTACCAATAGTCTCTTTCTGCCCATGCAATAACATTACACCAAGGCTGACGTTCTGTTGTCTGGTTTGGCAGACATGGTTTGTCTTTGAAATTCAGGCTTTGCTGGAAACAACCATCTTCTATCAAGAACACCAGTTAGCAGCTTTCCAACGGGACAGGTTCTTCAACTACCAAACCAGGATTATTGGCCAGTACTCGACATAATGGTCAGGGATGAGAATTTTCCGCAGATCCACGGAATTCCGGGAATTTCATAAGGCCAAGGGTCATTTTTGTGAATCATCTAAAGCCTGCGGCCCCCAGACCCCCGGCTAGTTTTCAGTTTTTCTCAAAACTTCATTCTCATGCCTGAATGGTACTCTACTTATATGTCCCTTAAACCTGCTTTTCAAGAGTTTGTCCATTGTAATAAGGTGCCATTAATGCAAATTTCATTCGAGGTTATTGTTACAATGTTTTGCATCCTTCCCCATTTCTGACATTCGTGCATAGGTCTCCTTGTTTGCCTGAGGAGTCGTTGTGTTGAACAACATTAGATTACATACCAACTGTTAGTTTCTAGTTCACAGCATTAACCTTCTTACTGTATGGTCCGTAGCTTGCTGTCCCACTGTATCATTATTACACAACTGGCATGTATTTGTTAAATTTTGTGAATTTCAATTTGACGCTGATCTTTCCATTGGATCTCAATTCAGATAGTTCATTAAGTCTACTAACAAGTGAAAGTGCACATCAATAAATTGTTTCATTGGTCAGAGGATAGATTACTGGATTCCTACAGACATAAGACAAGCAAGATTCTCAGTACCTTGTTCACATCTTGAACAGGGCCCTTATTCTCGAAACGTTCGTAGCCCTAAGAATTCTTAACTTTGATCGTAGCCTGTGTGTAGAATGGGCTTAAGAAGTTCATAGGGCTACGAACATTTCGAGAATAGCTAGCCTGATTTAGCCAAACTCTTTACTGATACAGTATGTGAATATTTGGCACTGCAGTAGCCAGCATGACCCAGGCTTCCAGGAATCTTGCATCAGTGTGTACCCATCTTGTACCACCAGTTGTACCCATCTTGTACCATCTGTGTGTGTGATGTATTCAGTAATGATGTGTTACAGTGTACTCATTGCAGCTATTTATTGTTTAACATGTTTAACATATTATTCAACCCCCGTCATCCTAGTGCTGTCTATGTACAAAGGCCAACTTTCTAATTTTCTACAGGAAGTGTATAAGTGTTGTCAAGTGTTGTGTTTAGGATACACGTTGGTGTGCTTACATTGTCAGGATATTTGAATGCATTTGGGAACATGTGAGCGTAATGGTCTAGAAATATTGTCATTGTCACCAGTAATAACAAAAGCCCTATTTTTAAATATTTCAAACATTTTGTTTGGTGAATGCTGGAAATGTATTCAAAACCACCCAAAAAATTATTTAAATAAAAATACGAATGCTGTTAGCTGCTTAGTCATAGGTCATTTTTGTCACAGCATTCATGTCTTTGTATAGATAACATACATTGTTGTCCTCTGTTAGGAACATTATCATATAGTATTAGTCATCCCCTCATCAAGCTCTGTAGTTTACACACAACATACACATCAAGCTACAATCTAGTGTAAATATGCACAGCTGCAAAAGGACTGGTCTCTGAAATTTATCTTGCAAGTGCATAAATACCTTTGTGAAAGATATTGGTTATACTCAGGAAAGACTGAAGAGAATGCTGTTTCCTTTTAATTTGTACATGGGATGAGGTTGTCATGTCCGAGAAATCCTTCTCCATCTCAGTTCCATGCAATTAATTCTAATCAGCAGGTGTAGGTAGGTTTTTGATGTGTGATTGGTCTTACATGTGGTGGAACACTTCTAGTTTTTTACATTTACAGATAGTGGGAGACGTTGAATAGAAAAGATGCATGAAAGCATGAAAGAGTATGGCACAAGAGACAGCCCTGTCTAACACCTATTAGTTTGTCAGTATTAGCATGGTATTGAGCTTAATTTTTCAGCATTGTCAGTTAGATCTGTACAAATGCTTCAGCATTGCACGCTAGTGTATTATCAAGCAACATTTTATTATTTATATCTGTTTCAGAAAATTTTAATTTTCACCTCAAAGTGAACACTGATCAAAATGGTGCTGAAAGGTCATGGCAACATTTAAGTTGCTATGGTGACCAGCCAGTCACATGATTGTTTCCATGGTTGCCATGGTCATGTGACTTCCATGTTTACATGTCCAGTCTTTGATGAAGTCATGTGTCCAGTGGCAGATTGAGGGGTCATCAGTCATGTGATTGGGTTTTCCATATTTGGTAGTCCACGTTCGTACTGCAGTGGGGCCAAAATCTTTTAAATGTGCTTCAACAATCTCTGTAAATTAATATTTTTGTAAAGGAAAACTAGAATACGGTTATGTATCATTTGCATTTTGAGATTGAGTAAACATACATAATTGTAGCAATTAAGTGAAAGCTTCAAGCAAAAAGGAAGCCCATATTCAAATGCATCCAACTCAAGTTCCTGTTTGACTGATTAAACCTATTGACATTTGTGTAACCAATGTTCAAGGCAATCTCACAGGTTAATAACATAATTATCCTACATTAGATGCCCTAGTAGCCCTCTGTACCTCTTGTATATACTATTATCTACGCATTTCCGTTCATTACAATTGTATGTAAGCATTCATAAGTTTTAACTGTACAAATTATTTTTAAACATAGATCAACGTCATCAAGTGTTGATAAGTACTGAATTTTTAGACTCTTTTTATGGCTGTTGCAAAGTTTTGTATTTCACAGCATTTTAGGCCGGTGTTTACACGAAGTTTACATGTGGAGTTTGCCTAAAATAAACACTTTCTTTGCCAGTGTGTGCCATGTTGTTATTTTACCATCGCTTTTCAGTTTGGCATAAACGTGATTAAAAAATGTCTGGGTGAACTCAATGTCTCTATGCATTGTTTTATCAGCTAAATGTATTGTTCCAGCCATAGAAACAACAAGTAGCATATTGTAACAAGGCGAGTCAGTTTAGTTTTACGCTGCACTCAGCAATATTCCAGCTATATGGCGGTGGTCTCTAATTGGTCGAGTCTGGACCAGACAATCCAGTGATCAACAGCATGAGCATTGATCTACGCAACTGGGATGCGATAACATGCCTCGACCAAGTCAGCCTGCCTGACCAACGATCCCGTTAGTCGCCTCTTACGACAAGCATGGGTTACTGAAAACAATTTCTAACCCGGATGTTCACGGGTCTTGTAACAAGGGTACAAAGGTAGTTGACGTGAACCTTGCGTTAAAACTGACATTGGTTCGGACACAGAGACGCACTCACTTTCTACATAAGTTCAATAATCTTAAACACAAACCCCAGGAAACAGCAAGTACCATGGGTAGCCCAGCCCTAACCTTGTGTCAAAATCGACATTGGTCCAAACACACAGAAATAACCTCGCTCTCATCTTGAACGCGAAAAGCCTACATCTATCTCACTTTGCAGACAAAATATTGTTTAACGACCAAACACAATTTCTTTGCCCTTAGACTGGCGCCATTACTGACGTAACAATTCCCCGAGGCAAGGGAGTTAACTGATTTCTAAGGCCAGTTTGAACTCAGTTAACTCCCTTGCCTCGTGAAGATGGAAGCCAAACAACTTGGACGAAAACCTAGGTCAGCCATGGGATAACAGTCTTTGAAGAATGAGGACTATTCTTATGGATATACGACTTCTTTATTCTGTATAGGCGACGTTTCGACAGATTCTAATATCAAGCAAGAGGTACATGAAAAGTAATTTTGGGTGATATATATACATGAGATGTTTGGACAATAGATGAGGGATGAGGCGAAAATGAGTTAATAAAAATAGGTCTAAACAGTCTTTATCAAATAAACATGTAATACAACCAATTGATATGTATAAATGTATCACACTGTGTTGTCACTTGAGTCACGACTTCGAGGAAACATGTCACGTACCAGCTCCCATATGTCACCTTGCTTTCATTTCGAACACCGGTACAAAGCGTGACGTCCATTCTAGATGTTCCCCAGTGTCTGCAATCTTGTTAAAGGTTCAATATAACAACGTCACCAACCACTCTCTCACGCACACTTTATCGTCTAATACTTGGTTGTGATTTGATTAAAGCTATTTATAAACAATCCTGAAGTAACCGAGCTTCGAAAACACAATATTCGGTTCACAAAATGCTATGAGAACACAAACGTTGAATGCATGGACGGTTGTGATGAAATCTATTCATAACCAATCCTGTAAACGAGCTACGAAAATATTCGGTTAAAAAAATGTTCCGAGAAAACGCTGAATACACGGAGAGACGAATATGTCAAACGTTATAGTGATAAGACATGCTTACTAGGACTCTGATGCGAGCTGGGGCGGTGGGCTTGCCAAATGGTTAAAGCGTTGGCTAGTCACGCCGAAGACCCGGGTTCGAATCCCCACATGGGCACAATGCGTGAAGCCCATTTCTGGTGTCCCCCCGCCGTGATATTGCTGGAATATTGCTAAAAGCGGCGTAAAACCAAACTCAGTCAGTCAGTCTGATGCGAGCTTTCTACATATTCCTGTCGAGCTGCTGTTAGATACCTTTAGACACCAGCTGCACATGAGACAGAGTGCAACTAGTTTTCATTTATTTAAAATGTCATGAACAAAATACTATATAAAGCCGTTTCTAATGATATTTCTGAGTATGGAATTTTAACATACAATTGACAAATACATCACTCTTTTCTCCAAAATGCACAGAAAAGTGGGGATAAGGCCTAGCTATTTCTTCAGAGTTAAACCATTCCTTCGCTCGGTAGTCGGAATGGCCATAGTTCGTCGAATACATTTATACTTTCAAACAAAGTCAGTGTAGTTTTGTTTATCTTATCAGCTGTTCTTAAATCTATTTCTAACCTTCAGCTATTGTAAATTATTTACAAAGTTCTGCCGGGATCCAAGGTTAGAATAAGACCATAGAACCCTGTGCTAGTTGTAGGAGACCGCTGAAGAGGTCTCTCAGTCCTGAACCTATGTATAATATTTCCCAATCGTCCATCTCCGTTATGCAAAACCCCAAAACAAACCAGATATTTCAGAGACGAAGCATTAATCTTGAGGTCTGTTGGATGCTTTAAAGACTGCATGTCACTGTGAGGTGAGGTGAGGTGAAATTGGGTTTAACGTCGTGCTTGAGAATATTTCGCTCATATGACGACGTGCATGCGTGTGTATGTGTATGTGCGGCTGCTTGTACTAGCCCAGACTTAAGCTGGTTTTATAGTGCTAGCCCTATGAGATACCATGCCGCAGTGAAGCATGAATACCCCACTCAGACACATTATACTGACTCCGAGCCGACCAGTCCTTGTTGTACCCATTAATGTCGAGCGCCAGGCAGGGACAAACAAGTACCATACTTTAAAGTCTTTTGATATGACGCGGTCGGGGATCGAACCCGCGACCTTCCGCTCTCCGGTGGACGCTCTAACCACTACACCACGGAGGCGGTCGCATGTCATTGCACACAGACGGCGTTTATTATTTCTCATAATATCAATCACTGGTTAGTCTGATCCTTGATTACTTACAGGATACAGCTATGCAACTAAGCTTTATTGCTGAGCGGGACTATCAACAACAACAACATGGACCCCTTTCCGTAAAATGTTAAAAAAAAACATATTTGTAAATTCTACAAACATTATAGGAAATGTTGTTACAATATGTCCCGTGTTCTTGACATGATATATTCGTTATATCAATATATTGGTTTCCGAAATGATACCGCCAACATATGGATTCCATGTCTACTTTAACTTACCCGTCAAAATCTGTCTGGGAGGTAGCCAATCAAATACCTCGTCTGTCACATTCATCTGTCGCTTGTGTCAGCTGTCTCGCCCTTGGAACCCACACTTCCGGTCTGCGTGCCTCGATTGCGTTTCCATCCAAGAAATTAATTACAACGTCAACAGCAAGCAGAAATTATGCATATTTTGGGTCACAACCGCAAACATTTCTAAAGTTCATATATGCACGGGAATGTTTGTATACCAGTCACAGTTTGCAGACTTGTCTACTATTTCAACACCCAGACTCCTTTTCCTCTGGATTTAGCAACATGTGCAATTAAAGGGCAGTTTGGGGGCAAATGCGGTTATGATTGATCACATATGGTGGAGACTTTGGCCATTAATCATGAAAAGCTGAAGTAATTCTTTAGACAGAGATTGTTTATTTCACTGGTGGATATGAGACTTGTCTGGATCTATCAGGATTCCCCACGTAGCTTTCAGTCTTTATGTAGAACGAACCTGTAAGAATGCTTATTTTCGGTAAACCAAGCTATATCATTGGCCGAGCTGAAAGTACATGGCCCACTTGTCAAACAGGCGGAGTGAGTATGGTTTAACACCGCTCTTAGCAAAATTCAAGCAATATCGCTGTGACAGACACCATGCGTTGTTCTCATGTGGGGAATCGACCCAGGTCTTTGGCGTGACAAGCGAACGCTTAAACCGCGAGGCTAATTGAACCGCCTCTTCGACTAACGGCATCCTACTTACGTGAGCACAAAACACAAAACACTCGGATCCACTCGGCTTCTTCCGCTACCTACCGGAAGCTCTCGGCGCATTGGCGTGTGGCGTTAAATAATAAATAAATGAATGAATGAATGAATGAGGAAATGGGCGAGTGAATGGATATACAACCTCGTGATATTGAACACCTGCAAATGCCGACCAATGCTCTACTGGACAGTGTAGCATGAAAGTACCTTGGTTTCAGGAACGTGGTCATTCAGCGTTACTAAGCCGAATACATGTCCAAGACATAAACCTTTACATTCTTGATTCAAAACTGACAAATCTACAGCAACATACACTCTTCAAAAATAAGGAAACGCACAGGTGATTTTGAGAATATTAGACTCATGTGGCTGCGTCAATGCGGCAAAAACAATACAAATATACTATATCTTTGCGTGATTGTATACTACATTCTTTGTGTGATTGTAAACAGCTTCAGCGCCAAAACGGGGCAATTTAACTTTTCCCCTTGTTTTAGAAGCGTTTGAAGAGATATTCGTCAAAACGTCACCAAGAATACATGCAAAGCAAACTGCACGTGCAAGTAAGCGGAAAAGCTTGCGGTATCGGTGACTATAAAAAGTCGAACGTTGTGTTTAATTTTGTCATTCTTTTTTTGTCTGGAAACGAGGAAATCCTCATCCAATCGAAACATCGCCATAGGCCGCCTTGAAGCTGGGGAGTCGCAGTCTGCAGTTGTCCGACATTTCAACGTTCATCAGAGCTCCATATCTCGCCTTTCGGATCGTTTCCTCCAGATCAATTCCACCCAAGATTGCTAGAGAAGCGGCGGTTACAGAGTTACCACCCAAGCCCAGGCCCGCTACATCCGTGCTGCTAACTTGCCTCATCGTCTTGCCACAGCCGTGGAGACTGCACAATGTATCCCTGGTTTGAGAAGAATTTCCCACCAAAGTGTCCGGATTCGTTTATTGCGTGAAGTTGGGATTCGACCAAGAAGGCCAGTTGTCGCCCCTGTTTTGAGAGACTTCCATCGGCGCAATCGCTTGCGGTGGAGTCGTAGAGTCCGGAACTGGAACCTTAGAAACTGGATGTGAGTCACTGTTTCTTCTTCACCGGCGAGATGGAAGACAGCATGTTTACCGTCGGAGAAATGAACGTTTTGCCCCTAGCTGTATTCGTCAGGTCGACAGATTCGGTGGAGTCAGTGTCATGGTGTGGGGAGGGATATCCAGCACACAAAGATCTGATTTAGTGGTGGTTCAGGGGAATTTGAAACCAAATCGGTACT